TGTTTGCGACCTGACCCGGGTACTCACTCCCTTTGGTGGACGTGCTGGCCGCCTCTGGGCACTGAGATGCTTCACTGACTTCCCACCTGGAAGCAGACGCTGCGTCCTGCTGTCTGGCTAGTGGGGGGGAGGTGAGGGTTGACCCAGCCTGCCTGTTCCTACTGAGGTATTCCATCGAGTCAACCCAAACTTGTCTGCTTTTGCCTGTGGGGTTCTTTGCTATTTTCCAAAAAGTTGAGACTCCCCTTTTGCAAATTAAATCTTACATGGAATCTTGGTATTTAAACTGAAAGAAGAGTAAAGCTGCTCTGATTGAAGGGAGCTTAGCAACTTCACTCTCCTCACCCTGAAAACATCTGGAGTTCAAGTACAAGAGCCTGGGCAGGGGCTGGCAGGTGGGATGGTGGTTAAGGGCGCTGGACTCCCACATGGCTGACTGCAGTTCGAGTGCTGGACCTGGTGGCTTGCTTTCTCACCCTTTCTCTTTCTCTCTCTGGTCAAATTAAAAATTAATAATAATAACAAATGGAATTAAATAAATAGATAATTATTAAAAATACAAGAGAGTTATATCCCAAATCTGAAGGAAACTGGTTGATCCCTGTTGGTGGGCTCCCAGCTTACTCCCAGTGCCTAATTATGAGGACCACTTGGAGCCTGGGCCCATCCTGTGGCAGCTCTAAATCTACCTGTCTATTTAATTTGCTATAGGGTGCACGTACTTGCCAGAGAGGGTTGAGGAGATAGTGAGAAATCGTCCCCTAGGGAGGATGGCCACATAGTAATCTCTTTTCCCCTATCCTCCTCTGGGGATTTTAGGCATACATGCACACACACCAAACACATTTTCAAACCTCCAGATCCAGGACTTGAATTACACAGTCAGCCATGTGGAATCCAGCTGCTTTAACCTCCATGACACTGGCTGGCCCAAGCAACTCTAACTTTATAAATAATGTAAGGATGTGCAAAAAACTTCAGGCAGATGCTGACCCGAAGGCTTTTGGGCAGCTTGGACAAACACAAAAAAGATGTTGAGGTTCCCCCTCATAAGTCAGCAGAATCTTAGCCTAAGGGCCCGCCTGACAGAAAACTCAGTGGCCTTGTAAAGAAGCCATAGGGTCTGGACCCACTGAGCCACCTCTGTGGGCTTGCACTGCCCTCTGCTGGCCTTGCCCTGGCACTGCCCCTCCAGGGACAAGCTGTTTTTTGTAGGGAAAAGAGCTGTGCAGGCCGGCCCAGACCTTGCCTGGATGGTGGTAGCACCCTTGGGAAAATGTGTCTGACTATGGTGTTGGAATCAGACATGCTCAGCCTCACAAAACTCTGCATTCCTATGTGCATATAGGAATTCCCACAAGTGGCCACACCCCTACCCTGTGTTAGAGATAGAGAGGGAATGATAAAATAGTCTCTTGAAAGCCACCAACTGTGTAGAGGGGAAGATGGCCACGCCGCAATCCCTTCTCCTCCATTCTCCTCTCAGGATCTTGGGCACTCACGCACATGCGCCTGGCGTGAGTTTAAGCCACCGGGTCCAGGACTCAAACCATGGTCGACTACATGGGAGTCCAGCGACATAGCCATTACACTAACTGCTGGTCCCAGGATTTTTTTTTTTTTTTAAGAATTATTTTATTTATTTATTTATTTTTCACATGAGTTTTGCCAGAGAAAGACAGGAGAGAAGACAGGAGAGAGAGAAGGAGAGAAAGAGAAAGCCACCAGATCGGGACTCGAACAATGGTTGACCATGTGGGTATTCCAACGCCTTAACCTTGACGCCACCTGCTGGCCCCACTAGGATTTTTTTTTGAGAGAGATTTTCACTATAGGGCGCATGCGCTCCGCCAGACAGACAGAGACATAGAGACAGAAAGCGAGAAATCACCCCCCTAGGGGGGATGGTCACGCTGCAATCCCTTCTCCATTCTCCTCTCGGGATCTTGGGCACGCATGCACACGCGCCCGGCGTGAGTTTTAAGCCACCGGGTCCGGACGCAAACCGTGGTCGACTATGTGGGAGTCCAGCAACACAGCCATTACGCTAACTGCTGGTTCCCTAGGATTTTTTTTTTAAAAAGAGAGATTTTTTCTACAGGGTATGTGCGCTGGCTGGACAGACAGAGACAGAGAGATAGAAAGCAAGAACTCATCCCCCCAGGAGGGATGGCCACACCGCAATCCCTTCTCCATTCTCCTCTTGGGATTTTGGGCATGCACACACACGTGCACAGTGTGAGTTTTAAGCCTCCAGGTTCAGTACTTGAACCATGGTCGACTACGTGAGAGTCCAACGATGCAAGCATTACACCATCTGCAGGTCCCACTACCTGAGGATTTAAAGGCAAGCTTTGCACTTGAGCAGAGGAGAGAGAAGCAGGGCTGCAGGATCCTGGCTCCTCCAGCCTGGGCTGCAAAAGCCAGTGTGGGGAAGTAAGAGCCAACAAGCTCTTCCCTGAGGAAGAACAGCTCCTCCCTGGACTAGGCCAGCAGGTTGCCCTTATAGCAGGCAAGATGTGGAGGTGAAGACACCTTGATCCCCTGAGGTGACCATATTAAGAAGGAAAAGAGGACCAGCCCCATGGCCTGATGGTTAAGGGAGTTGGATTGTGAGAGGCAGTTAGCTAGAAATGAGCGGGCAGCCCTAAGACAACAGCAGAATTCCGGGCGTCTGTCCCGTCAATCACAACTTATCAGGAATCACAACCAGACCCTCCATGAGAACTTCCTTTCACCCAGCTCCTGGCGCCGAGCAGGTTATCTTCCCTCCTGCCATCCCAAATATACACACGCAAATTCACCACCGAGATGGGGTGCTAGGTCGACAATCTAGTTCTCACTGAGGCGTAAACTAATCGGACAGTTCATCCATACGTAAATGCTCCTACCTTCTGAGTCGACACTGAGCACGCATGACTGGCTAATTGAATTCCGCACTGGAGAGAGACACGTGTAGGCACAGGAAAAAGCCCCCAGATTCCAAACGAAGAAGCCAGATGCTATGATAAACTTCATCCTGAGAACTATTTATCACCAACGCTTAGAATAAATCTAACACCCAACCCCAGGCCCAGCAGAGTTGTCCTTCTCTGGCAGCTGCCCACCTGCACGCCTTTCTGGCATGAGGGGTGTATTTCTTTTCTGTTAAAAATCTTCACTTTCCTATTCAAACTTCTCTTTTCCTAGTTTACAAGTGTTTGTGGTTTTTCGTTTTGCATCTCAGGACAGGTCTGTAACCTTAAGAGATCTGGGCCCAAAGAAACCAGGATTTTACACGATGCAGCTCAACTCTCCCAGCCTGTAACAGGATCCCATGTGGCTGACCACGCAGTTAGAATCCTGGCCCCAGAGACCTGAAAAACACACCAGGTGCGCGTGCGCATGCGTGTGTGTGTGTGTCCCCAAAATCTGCCAAAGGAAGAAGAAACAGAGAAGGGACTGCAGTATGACCATGCCCCACTGGGTGCTTTTCCCTTTCCCTCTATCCATCTCTGGTGAAGACACATGCTTTCTGGCAATTAAACATTTATATTGAAAGGGACCAGCAGGTGGCACCCCCCACCCCCACCCTGGAGTGATTTCTCATCCTGCCCTCCAAGTCTTTCTCCAGCACACATGCTCTATACCAAAAGTGAAAAAAAGGGTTAGTTCTATGTGGTTCATGGCCACAAGGAGGGGTTTCATTTGTCCCCTTCTCAGAGAGGTTATTATTACCTGTGACGTCCTTCAACGGCGCAGGTGTATGGCCGGCACCTTCAAGGAAATCCCTCTAAGGACATCCAAGGGAGAAATGGCGAGAGGGGCTGTCATACGCGGGGCCACCGCGTTAGGTGTGTGGTCCTCACTGTGGGAAAGTTCTCCTGTAAGAGTAGAGCTGAGGGGCCTGTCAATGAAATGGTTAATAAATATCTGTTAGCACAATTGGGGCAGCAAGGGATGTGTCACTGGACACGGACCCAGAGGGTGGCCTCGGGACAGGTGCAAGGTGTGCTGGTGCTCCCACGTGACCACAGTGGCATGCTACTGGCACCGAGCCTGGACCTGAAATCTCTTCCATATAGTTGGTTCTTTTCATAGGAAGTATTCTTTGCAAGTTGATTTTCTTGGATCAGAACAGTCTCTTGTGGAGGATAGGAAGTGTATATGGGGGACTCTGCTTGCCAGAAAGAGAGAAAGCAAGCAGTCCCCAGTGGAGCGTGGTCACACTGCAATCTTCTCCATTTCTTCATCTTACTGGGCTTTTGGGCAGGCATGCATATATGCTCAGTGTTTTTTTCTTTTCTTTTTTAAATAATTGTTTTATTTAACTTTATTTACTTTCATTTGACCACAGAGGAGGGACAGAAAGAGAGAGGAGAGAGAAAGAGAGAGAGAGTGAAAGTGAGAAAGCAAGCTGCCAAATTCAGGGCTTGAACTGCAGCTGGCTATGTGGGAGTCCAGTGCCATTAACCACCACACCAACTGCCGGCCCCCATGCTCAGCGTCTTTCAAGCCACTGGAGCCAGGATTTGAATTGCTGTCAGCCATGTGCGAACTAGCTTCTTTAACCATGAAGATCACCATAGAGGGATGAATTTTGAAGTCTGGTATCAGATATTCTTAGGTCTCGTTAATGTGCACCCTCCCAGGACAGTACTCCACGCCCTGCATTGCTTCTCGAAGGTTTGGCATGGCCAGGAGGGAGAGGAACTCATAAAGCGAGGTTCCAGACAGTGGTGGAACTCTCCTGACTGAGCCAGTGACTCCCAGCTTGGGTGCAGACAGATCCACAGTCACCCAGCCAACCTGGTCCTCTCTTCATTGAGGTAACATGTGCCTAGTCTTTGAAAGAACGTTAGGAAAAACCACATCAGATCATGCCCAGCAAGCACCCTTTACAACTCTCTATATATTCCATCTACATGGTTCACTTTATGGTCATTAAAATATGACTGGGCCAATCCGTGGCCTGATGATTAAGGTGCTGGATCCCACGTGGCTGACTATGTGGTCTGAGTTCCGGACCTGGCAGCTTGAGAAACATGCTGGGTTTGTGTGTATATGCCCCAAATCCTGAAAGGAGGGAGAAGTGAAGGGAGAGGGATTGTGGCATGACCATCTCCCCAGTGGGTAATTTCTCACTTTCTGTCTCTCTCTAGTGAGTGCACACACCCTATGGCAAAAATCTATCTCAAAAAAGGAAAAAAATCTTTTATAAACAGTATGTAAGGTCATGCATCTACAAGGTTAATGTTTTTCTGTCTGTGTCAAAGGTATGGCTGGTTTTTTTTTTTTTTCCTGCATTTTTCAGGCATGTATTACTTTTATTCCATCTACATGGTTCACTTTATGGTCATTAAAATATGACTGGGCCAATCCGTGGCCTGATGATTAAGGTGCTGGATCCCACGTGGCTGACTATGTGGTCTGAGTTCCGGACCTGGCAGCTTGAGAAACATGCTGGGTTTGTGTGTATATGCCCCAAATCCTGAAAGGAGGGAGAAGTGAAGGGAGAGGGATTGTGGCATGACCATTCCTTGGGAGGTGCTTTTTTCACTGTCTTTCCAGCAAGTACATGTTCCCTCTGGGAAATTAAAAAGTGTTGCTATCTCACTTCTTTAATTTCTGGGCTTTCTTGCCCAGAGGAGCTGAGTTTACAAAGACACCTGGGGGCTGGTCATGTCTTTAATATTTGTTTCGTGTGTTTCCATGAAGCCCGTGCTTTGGCGAAGACGTGGGAAGAGTCCTTTCAGTTGGAAAATCCCCACTGCACAAAGAACACACAGCCACACCACGTTTTCAGTCTTTATTTCTTTTTTTAAGTAAAGAAATTCCATTGAATCAAAGATAACAAAATTACAGTTTTTGTTTGTAATGATCTTTGTTCACCACCACACAGAATCAGAGTAGAATCAGAAGTAATACGAGAACATAAAATGATCAAGGACACCATGGTTGAGTATAACTTCTTAATAAAGGTAAATATCCTCATATTTAGAAAAAATTGCATTGCTAGTTGCAAATCTTAAATGCCTCAGTGCTAAAGGATCCTGTATGACCCCCCCCAGCCCCACCCTAAAGATCCAGCAGCACAGAGGTTTTCAGAACACAAACTCAAAATATACAGTATTTTCAGGGCAGCATTGTGAGTTTCCAAAAACCTGAATGGAACGAAACTGAAATGAACCAGAGTTAGGAATGTCAAAGTGATGGTTCTCCAAAATCAATCTGGAAGCAGATCTGCCAACATAAGAATGGGGTCGGACGGAGTCTGACCAGGAAAAAGAGAGATGCAAACTGCTCCCCGCCCCGCCTCCCCACCC